CGGAACTACCTGCAGTGGCGCCTCTTCGGGGCGCCGGTCTTGGGGCCCCCACCGCATGCCACGCCCCGCCCCCCCGTGTGGCCCACCCTCTCCGGAAGGGGGGCCCTGGCGGGGGGGGGGGCGGCGGCGCTCCCATGGCTCCCCGCGCAGGCGCGGGCCCGGAGAGCGGGGCATCGACCTCACGTTTGTCGGCGAGGGGCGGGGAGCGTACAAGAAGGTTCGGGCACCGGCCAGAAGTCGGCGACGAGCGAGGGGGGGAGGTGAGAAGGGGAAGGCCTTCTCAGCAGGCGGCGGGACTTCTCAGAAGCCCTCGCGCCTCCTGAGAAGTGTTTTTCTTGCCTTCGAACACTTCTCGGATGGCCGGGGGACTGCCGAACCGGAGAGCGGGGCATCGACCTGACGTTTGTCGGCGAGGGGCGGGGAGCATACAAGAAGGTTCGGGCACCGACCAGAAGTCGGCGACGAGCGAGGGTCGGGCCGGGCGAAAGGGGGGGATTGGCAAAGGGGGGGTTACGAAATCTGCCGCATGCAGCTGGTTTCGGCCCCACCGAGGAGCCCATTCCTCGATACGTGGCCGCCTCCAGCGCCGGGAGGCGCCGGGAAAATCAGCTACGTGAGCTGATTCTCAGACCCCCCCTTTGCTATCCCCCCCTTTCGCCCGACCCGAGAGGGGGGGAGGTGAGAAGGGGAATGCCTTCTCATAGGGTTCGGAAGTCCCCCAGCCATCCGAGAAGTGTTCTAAGCCTTCCCGAAGGCAAGAAAAACACTTCTCAGGAGGCGCGAGGGCTTCTGAGAAGTCCCGCCGCCTTCTGAGGAGGCCTTCTCCTTCTCATTTCCCCCCCTCGCTCGCCGCCGAAGTAGAGGGAGGTATCGTTTCCGGCAAATGCCTCGAATTTTCCTTCCCTCGTCGCTCGGGCTGGATTCGCCTCGAAATTCTTTACGCTTCGCGTATCCCCACCAGCCCATCTCAAAACAGCCACTCTTGCGAAGCATGCCGACAGTCGTGTTTTTCAGGCGTGTTTCCGCCTGCCCCCGCATATCTCCCCTGTTCCTCCTTCCTCCCGCCTCCTTGTACATCCTCCTTGTGGTGGGAGCGGGAGAAGGACGAGGCGGAGGAGGAGGGAGAGAAAGCGCTCCTCGTGGTTTGAGTCGTTTGGGGTTTCTCGTCCTGGTGTGAGTCGTTCGGGCCCTTCTTCCTGGTGTGAGTCGTTCGGGCTCTTCGTGGTGTGAGTCGTTCGGGCTCTTCGTCCTGGTGTGAGTCGTTCGGGCTTCTCGTGGTGTGAGTTGTTCGGGCCCCTCGTCCTGGTGTGAGTCGTTCGGGCCCCTCCTCCTGGTGTGACTCGTTCGGGCTCCTCGTGGTGTGAGTCGTTCGGGCGCCTCGTCCTGGTCTGAGTCGTTGGGGCCCCTCCTTCTGGTGTGAGTCGTTCGGGCTCTTCGTGGTGTGAGTCGTTCGGGCCCCTCGTCCCTCGCTTGGCGGCCCAAGGGGCTTCTAGGAGCGTCTTGGGTGCCTTGGGGGAGCCTGTTCGGGCCTCTTGGGAGCCTCTTGGAGGCCGTTGGGGGCGTCTTGGGGGCCTCTTGGCGGCCCCAGGGGCTTCCAGGAGCGTCTTGGGTGCCTCGGGGGAGCCTCTTGGAGCCTCTTGGAGGCCTCTTGGGGCGTCTTCGGCGCCTCTTGGGGCCTCTTGGGGGCCTCCTTGGGGGCCTCTTGGGGGCCTCTTGGGGGCCTCCTGGGGGCCTCTTGGGGCCATCTTGGGGCCTCTTGGTGCCTCCTGGGCGCTTCTTGGGGCCATCTTGGAGGGAATCGATCCAAGAAGAGGGGAGCTTTAATGAGCGCGGCCCCCTCAGAAGGGCAAAATGAGGCCAAAACCTTCGTAAAATCAATGATTTTGCCTTGAAAGAAGATGGGAGCTTTAAGAAGCGCTGCCCCCGCAGAAGGGCAAAATGGGGCCAAAACCGTAGTACAATCAATACTTTTGGCTTCAAAGAAGAGGAGAGGGTTTTTTCTGGCCCCCCCCGGTGGGGCCAGAATCCTCGTGAGGGGTGCCGTTTTTTAGCCCTCCCAGGAGTCAAAAAAGACCCCTCCAACGACCCGCGAAAGGACCTCTCCAGGCCCAGGGGGAGGGGGTAGGGGGAGGGGTAAACCCCTCCCCGAAGGGAAAGACGGGGGGTTGAGAACAGAGCGGGCTCTCTAAACCACTCACGCCCAAAAGGCTGGTGGGATTCTTGTCAGCACGCACCCGTGGAGAGGTCTGGTGAGCACCAGTATAGGTAGCTTTGGCGCTGCCCCCATCTGAAAGACCCCCCCCAGATATAAGTCGGCTGACGAGTTCTGCACATGTTCACTCGACTCAACTCGGCGTACAGTGGAGACCCATGCCAAGAAACACCCTGCTTGCCTCCAGGGTGCCCTGGGTTTCTTGGGTTTCGATGGTGTTGTGATGGAGAGCGCGACGTTCCCACACCAGAAATCCATGGGCGTCTGGGTTCTCAGGGTTGCGTTTCTCGTGGCAGGTTTCTTGTGGTCGGGCCCATGCTGTACTGGCAGAGCGCTGGTGCACTCCCCCGCCAGTTTCGCCGATCGGCGTGCGCTTTCCCGAGCACGTGCGTTGGTTTTGGGGCGTCGGTCAGCTGTTCCGCCGGGGTGCGCCGCATTGTGCGGTGCCGCGCGTGCCCGCGAGGTGCCGCCCGCCAGCCGTCGCGGAAGGGCGGTTTGCGACAGGGGTGCCCATCTCAGTATCGTTTAAACGACCCCTTATCCCCCCTCGTAGATCCGACGCTCCGAAAAAAGACTGGAGCGGCGGGATTTTGGCAGTTTGGGGCCTCGCGGGGGCTTCGCAGGGCTTCGGGAGCGTGACAAAAACGAGTCGGGACGAAGGACCGGCTCCGGGGAAGTGGTCCGGACCTCCGGGGCCGACGTTTCGACAAAATGGGAGCAGCCGGGCATCTGGGCTTATCCCCATCCCCATCCAGACCCCCACCATCTCAGCACCCCAGTGGGGGACACACCCCTCGAAAGCTGAAGGAGACGGCATGTATCCCCCCTCTCGGCCAGCGTGGGCCACGCCAGTGGGGGGACAGGGGTAGGTTGAACGATGGTGCTCGCTGTCGATCCTCGAGAGGTGGAGACGCTCGTCTTCGTGGGCGAGGGCAAGGGCAGCTTCGTGCCCCCCGGCGGCGAGGGCGGCGGCCCAGAGAGCGGCGGCCTGAGAGACGCCTGCCCGACGCCGACGTGCCCGCCAGACACCGTGTGCGGCCTGAGCAGGGGGGAGTTCATCGTGAGGCTGGGGGGCCAAATCTGAAGTTCGGGCGGACGGTATGGGGGGGGGGACCTGAATGGGGGGTGGAGAGAAGGGCCCCAAAGGGGGCCGTCTGGGGCCCGTCGGACAGCATGGGGGGGGGGACCTGAACGGGGGGGTGGAGAGAAGGGCCCCAAACGGGGGCCATCTCGGGCCCCCTTTGGAGCCAGCAGGGGTTCTAGAAGGGCCCTTCAGGGCCCCTTTCTGCACCCGCACTTGATGTCACCCCCCACTACCACCCGCCCGAAACACAAGCTGCCCCCCCCCCTGGTGGCGCCTCTGGCGCCGCCCCTGGCGCGCTCGCGGGGATATGTTTTTGGTGTTACACATACATGTACATACATATATATATATATATACATATATAAAGAAAGAGCCTTCAACAACAAATCGGCTCGAAAGAAAACATCTCGGAGGCCAGCGGGGCGGCAGTGGGCCCCAGCCTGCCCCCCGTTCCTTTCTTTGCGCGCGTTCAGCGCACCGGGGATGGCGCGGGGGGCGCCCTCGGGGGGGTGGCGAGCGGAGTCCAACGCCGACCCGAGGAATCCGCGCCGGCGTCCGAACATCTCGTGTTCATGCCGCCGTTTGGTCCCCAGAGGTTCTGTGCCGTCGTCATCGTGGTGCTGCTCCTGCTGGGCGTCGTCTGCATCGCGATCTCCATCGCAGGCGGAGGCCTGCTCAGGGAGCCCGAGCCCCTTGCGGCCAGCGCGGCCGCTCCAGAGGCGGCGAGCGTGCACGGGCGGCACGCTGCAGAGCGAAGGTAGCGCTGCGCTGCTTTCTTGCCGAGCTTCCACAGGACTCCCGCGCCTTGGAAAATCGAAGAAGAAACAATGCCATACACATAAATTTTGGCGCTGCGCGCGGATTTCTTGGATCCGCGCTGGGCCCCCCCTCCCGGCGGCGCCTCTGGCGCCGCCCCTGGCGCGCTCCGCGCGCCAGGGAGGGGGCTCCAGCGCAGATGCAAGAACTCCACGCGGAACGCCAAATGATCATGTTTCTGATGTGTGTTTTCCTCTTCTTCTAGAGAAGCATGGCGGAGCGGTGTCGCCGTTTGCCCGCCCTCGGGAGGCCGCTTCTGGATCCTGGGGCCGTCAAGAAAGGGTCGGGATGGAAGGCCGACCCCATGCACGGGGCTGGGGACCTCCAGGGGCCCCAGGTTTGACAAAGCCGAGGCGAGACGTCGGAGAGATCCTGGCGAGGGGGTCCTGGTGTTGCATGATCAGAGTAGGTACTTGTGTAAATGCATATGTTGCCCCGATGCGCTCTGCTCCTCCAGTTTGCTTTGCGGACGAGCAGCAGCGGATCCGAATATCATATCTTGCATGGATTAGATGCATCAGGCTCAGCCCGTGTCGAGCATGGTGCGCTAAAAGCGCTCCGTGACATGAAGAGCAAATGTGCCGGATTTGGCACATTGCATCTTGCAGCACCAATTCGTGCATGGAGGAGGATTTCAAGTCGTTGTGGAGGCTGCACGTGCTTCTCTGCGATTCTGGCAGTGTTGGAAAGCCTCAGCCTACATGCGTGATTCTGCACATGCGTGCGTACTTGGAGTGCGTTGCTGCATGATCCCACCAATGTAGGGAAGTTCGTGTAATCAAGACAGAAAGGTGAGACAGATCTGGTTCGGAAGGGGTTCGCTGGTCCACATGTCCTTGCATAGCTGTTCCTCGAGCTCTGCCCGTGTACCCAGGTGCCCTTGCGGCCAAAACAAGTAGGCTTTGTTCCTTATTCACGCTTCGCGCAAGCCCACCCCACTTATCCAGAAACGATGCCCAGGCGAGTTGCCTTGATCACGGATGTGGAAGAGCACGCAGTGGAATACAGGGCCGGAGAAGCCGCCGTACCCCAAGAGGGTGAGGATGGAGGAGGGAGGAGGAGGAGGAGGAGGAGGAGGAGGAGGAGGAGGAGGAGGAGGAGGATGGGGAGGGGGACGAGAGAGTCGGGGCCCGCCAGTATCCCTACCGCCTCCTTCCTTCCTCCCCCGCTGGCCTGCCCTTACCCATCTGCCCTCCGCCGCCGGTCCGCCGGTTGGCCTGGTGCGCCCAGCGGGACCCTTGACCATTTGCGGTCCCGCCCGGGCCCCGGGGCGACAGAACGAGCAGATCGCCGCGCGATCTGGGCCCCCTACGAGCCTCTTCCTGCCTCGCAGGGGCCACCCTGAGTTTCAGCTCGAGGTGGTCACCGTCCATGGGGAACTCTTGGGCGCCATCCTGAAGGCCCCCCAACCCAAGTCCACCCCTGCGCATGTCGTTTTTGTTCGCGAGCACCGTCTCCGACAGGGTGGGGACTTGGCCCGTAAGGTACAGATGTGCATGACCTTATTCTACTACAAGACGCTCTGGGCCCCTGGGCTGCCTTGAGAATGGGATGGCATAAGCTCTGGCGTGCTTGTCGCAGTGCGCGACGGACCGGGTTGCGTCGTTGCCACTCGGATTGTTGATTGCAGATGGGCACGCCGTTGTTCCGATGATTCGCGCGCTGCTTTGCGCGCCGTTCGCCGCGGCGTCGCTCCGCCTGCACCGCGCGCACGGACGGTCTGACTGATTGGAGATTCGCAGGACTGCTGGAACCTCCGTGGAAACCCAGAGTTGCGATCTCATCTCGGCCGGAGGGCTGCAATTTCTCCCTCGGCACCCTGAGGAGGGGCAGCAATTTCGGCGAGCTCCTTGGTACTGCGACCCTCTCGGCGGCGGGGCGCGCCCGCTCCCCGCCTGGCGGAGCGCCCCCCGACGCGTTCGGTGCTTCGTGATGTCTGAAGAGCTCTCAGCAGGTGCTTTGCGGAGGCCCGAGTCGTCGCAGAGGCGGGCCTCTCGCCTCGCAGGCCCGCCTCGGGGCCCCCGCCCTGCGGAGCCCAGGCCTTGTCCTGGGGGTCAGTCCGAGGCGACGGGGCTGGCTGAGACGACCTAGCGCGCGGTTAAGACGGGGGCACTGGCGGCGAGGGCCCCTCTCATTCCTAGGTAGCGTCTCTGGGCCAATGGAGCGGAGGCTGACCTTGGGGACATCCCAGGAGTCCGCACCCCCGCCGTTGGCTTGGGCATCCGCGTTGAGAGCTGCCGGAGAGCAGGTTCGCCGCAGGTCGACCGCGTGGCTTGCTGCCCGATAGAGGGCGCTCAGGAGCTATCCTCCGCGCGACGGCGCGGCGCCCCCGCCTGCCGGCGTTGCGGTCGCCCGTGGCCTCGCTAACGTGCCCGAAGATGTCGCTGTGCAGACCGACTCCGCGTGGCGCCGCTTCCTCCAGGCTGGCGCTGGCTCAGCTGCTGGCTGCGCCTCAGTCTCTCCCCCGCCTCGCGCAGGGCCCAGTCTCGAATCTACGTGGCCGGGGCCGCTCGCGACGTCGCCCGGCTTCCCTGAGCTCGAGGGGCAGCCGAGCCTCCGATCGGGCATCGCTGAACTGCTCGTGCCGGTCGACGGAGCTCGTTTGAAGGCCGAGGCGGCGGCGTCAGGGAAGTCGAAGGCTTCGTGGAAGGATTGGCGAGGGGGCAGATTAACGAGGGTAGCAGGGGCGTCCGGAGAGCCACTTGGGGCCCCGAGCCTTGGCCCCCAACGAGATCCCTCACGGCGGGAGACAGCGCCGCGGCGGCCCGACGGCCCTCTCGAGGGCCGAAGCTGACGACTTTGCGTCCCTCTGGGAGGAAGTTGACGGGCAGGCAATGCATGGCGAGCCTCTCGCCTCTTTGCCGTTGCTTGAGCCCTTCGGACTTGTGTGCTTGTCCGAAGAAGTATCGGTGCTCTAGTGCCGTTAGCGTGGGCGGCCCTCATTGCGGGATTTTTTTGCGCGACGAGGCCTTGCGCTGCCTCGCCCAGCGGTTCTGCGCCGCTCCAGATCTCTCGGGACTTCATGGCTCTCTCGGGCAAGCCCACTGGCGGCTTCAGGCCCATAGGGCCTTCCCGAGCCGGCGCCGTGTCCGGTGCCGGGCACGACGCGCGCGCGCTCGGCGCTGAGAGGCCGCCAATCACAGGGAGATCTGGGCGGCGGGGGCCCGCGGGGAGCCGACGTGGTTGGGGCGGGCCTGCAGGTCTGAGGTTTGAGCGGGTCGCGGCTAAGCGTGGCTCTCCATTTTTGTTGGACCTCAGGAAGTATAACTATGAGCACATCTGTCTTAGGTTGTTCTGTTACGACAGGTGCTGTCGGCACGGACTCTTACCAGTGCCAGAATTTAGTTTCGGTTGTACTCCGTGGCCATGTACGTTTCCCTATGAGGTTTTTTGTCCTGGGTCAGACATTCGCCCGCATGGGCCTGATTCATGCTTTTTCTGATGTTGCTTGTTTGAGCGGCTCTGCCATCGACTTTTCGTTTCCACCCCGCAGGCGCCAGGTTTGGATTTCGACGCGTCTATCGACGACTTCCGGCTTAGTTGCACAGGCAAACCTAAGGCTGTCGCGCGAACCCTTGTCAGCGGAGCGCGAGGTCCACATGCTGGTATCACTGGGGCGTTAAAGTGCAAGCCGGCGGTGGATAAGTTCAGGATGGCGGCCAGCAGTAACAGCGTTGCCTCGGAACCAATCCAGATTGTCGGGCCTTTCGCGGGCTCAGATCAGGGATTGGGAGAGTCACGAGCCTCGGAACGGAGCTGATTGTTTCTGCTGGGCGAGCGGCCCGAGCCCCAGGCACGGGGAGGGCTGCCATGCTTAATTCTAGGATTGCTGCGTCGCTGCGCAAGACCAGGAGACTCCGCAGACTTGGGGGAAACCCCTGGTCGGCATACGCGTAAGGCGTTTGTTGCTGGCCTGTTGGCTGGCGCGACCAACGGATCTGACGTCCATGGGATCTCTGACAGGGAGCTTCTCGAGTTGCCTTGCGCGGAGCGTCCATGTCTCGAGCGAAGCCCCGTTCGCAAGGCCGCTCTCTGTCGATTTGCTTATTTTGGAGAAGGACCCGTGTTGGCGCGCGAGTGTCGCGCCCGCTGAGGGGCACTTTACAAACATTTGTTTTTGCCACACGGGTGCCATCCCTCGGCGTCTGTCTTGGGCTGAGCTGAGGAATGGGTGGGGCCTTGCCTTCAGTCATGGTGATCATTCCTGGGGTATGGTTACATATAGGTTCGCTCGCGACTTTGCGCATGTGCATCTACTGTCTGAGTTGGACTGTGCCTGATGCCACCACGTTTCGTGATGATTTTTGGTAGGGGCACCCCTCTCGCTCTCTCCTCCCCCCGTCTCGTCAAACACTTTTGTCGGGGGGCGGTGTTCAGCAACCTTCAGCGGGACTCGCTCGGGTGAGCGTTGCGGGGTGGGGTGCAGGGTCCGTGTGGACGTTGTCAAGCAAGTGCTGGCGTCGTCCAAAGTGCCGGGGAAGGCCGAGGGCATCATTCGAGCGCAGGCCACCGGCGCTTGCTGGACGGCCGCCGACGCGGCCAACGCTGGGTACGACGTTCCAGACGCCCGCGATGCATCAGTTGCAGGGACACCTTGCGCCATCGGCTGTTTGAGCGCAGGATCTGCGCACAGCAACGGCAAGGGTTGTTGCTTCAGGGGTTATTCGAAGGAACCCGTGACACCAACCACCCAGAGTATGAGCGAAAGAGAGAATCATTTTTGTTCGGTGTTTTCAAACATCCCTGGGACGACGTTCCTCCGCCTCTGTGTGACGGAGATGTCCCGCTCGAGCGGAAAGCTCAGGACCTTTCTCCTCCCCTCTTGCACGTGGTGATAAGAAGGTGGTTCTTGGGGTCTCGTTCAAGAGTTTCTTGTTCATGGGCGGCTCTTGCCAACGTCATGTTGTGACGGAGTTGCCGAGAGCGGGCTGCGCTATGGTCAAGGTGGGGTAAGATGGCGAGCTCTTTGGGGCCCTCCGTAGACCTCTCTGGGCCCCCCACATGCCGCGGAATTCACTGTGTTCGCTTGGTCAGGGGCCTATGATGATGCTCCCTCTATAGGTTGTTCAGGTTGTCGAAACGTCGTCGACCATGTTGCTCTAGGTTTGGACGCTCTCTGTGGTAAGAGGCAGTATTCTGGTCTTGTGGTGTAAGGAATGGACATTTTGGCAAGAGTCTTCCCGCACTCAAAGAGGTGGCAGCTCACCGAGACACGGATGAAGCTGGCATTTCAAAGGAAGAGCGATTCAGAAGATTTAGGTATTTGTGACGCGGATTTTGCTGCTAAGTAGGGCGCGGACAGGTACCCACTCATGTCCCCTGCCGAACAAGAGCCCCTCGATGGGAAGATCCAGAGTGCTCCTCTGGTCTTCCAGGCGAGCTCTCAGTTGAGCCCGTTGTCGCCCCGTCAGCAGTTTCGTGGCGCTGCCAGGTCGAGCCCCCCCCCCCCCCCGATTGAGCGCTCTCCTGGTCTCAGCGTTGGGCTTTCGTGGGTCAAGGCCGGGTCCTTCTGGCAGTGTCGCGTTTTCTGGCGTGTCTCGCGCGCGCGCCCTCCACCTCCTGGGGCTTGTTCTGGGCACTGGAGGTGGACCAGGGAGTTGTTGATGCGATTAGGGCACAAGGCGATTGGCCTCCCGTGCTCTGATTGCTCTCGTTTGTTTGGGTTGCTTCCCCTGTCGTTTTTTTCAGCAGTTGTTCTCAAGTAATAAACTCGGCAAAGTTTGTCGCCCTACCACGGTCATGCCGATCCGGAACACGAGAAGGCTAAAGTTTGGCCTTCGCCCTGAGAAGGATCAGGTCCATGTGGATCTCGACGGCATGTGCTGTTGCTGGAATGGGATTGCGGTTGGCGAACGTGGCAAAGCGTCGTGACGCCCCTCGGGAGGCCG